TGTTTTTTAACTTTTTTCAAATATTGGTATAGGAAAAACTTGAATAACTGAACCTAAACTCTTCCGATTTAGACTTAAGAGGTGTCATTGGAAAGGTATTTTCTCACCCTTTTTATTTCTTTGCTAATAAACTCATTCAAAGGAAGGAAGAGGAAGGTAGGGTGAACGAACGTCATTCAAAGTTGAATTGAGATGTGTTGGTATTCGAAAAAACAAGATGAGACGCGAATGACGTTTCTTTTGGCCAGAAATAAAAACGGTGTGAAAATACCTTTCTACTGAGATCCCATAAGTCTAAATCAGAACATTTTTGGCCCAGTTATTCAAGTTTTTCGTAAAGCAATCTTTGAAAAAAGTAAAAAAAAAAGCATCAAAAATCTTATTCTTAGATACGATTCCGTTGAAAAGATGTTTAAATATTTTTATGCAGATTTTTTAAGCTTAATCTAATTTGTCATCTGAGGGGACTTTTTCTAAAAAGTTCTTTATGAAACTATTTTTATTCATAAAAAACTTCATTTTTTGAGGTATTTTCAAATCGGTCCAGTTCGCTTAAATCTTGATATTTTTCCGAAATATTTTCGCGGACGTCTTACAATGTAATAAATTTTGTAGTCCCGGCGGAAAAACCGCAACTTTTTTTGGTGATGCAGTCTAATGTACATACAGATATATGTTAGCATGGAGATTTTTGAATGTAACTGCATTTAATTTTGCTTTATGGTGTATCTACTGTACTATATGTATGTACTTATATGCATGCATGTATGTAAAATACATAAATTAGCAACAAAAGTTTGCATACATGCTTTTACACTTTCTTCTTTTGCAAATTTGTTGCACATACACATTTTGTTGTAAATCTCTTTAGGCAAGAGTAATTATTTGATTATAGAAATCTTGTAATTTTCCGGTTTCTTGAAGTGGACACATACATGTGCAAGCCCTTAGCACTAAACTAATACTTTTTTACTTTTATGTATTGTTAATCTTTTTTTCTACATATACATTTTTAATATCAGAATAATATATAGTTACTTTTTTTTAGCTTACTAAAATTACTTATGTACCTATTATATGATATTTTTTATGTCTAAATATATGTAGATACATAATATGTGTGTTGTTGTTATTGTATATTGCAAGTATAATAAATGTGTTTCTAAATTAAGGTAAATTCAAAATTTCAAAAAAGGTGTACATATGTTTCGGTAGTGTAAATAGAACTGATGTGCGTTTTATATGTATGTATTTAAGTTATTACAAAATTTTTTATTTATTTATGTATTTAGAGAACTAATAATTACAAATATTTATGCCACAAAGTGTTATCTGAGCCAAGTTTCTTGCTGATTTATTAAAAAAATGTTTAAAAAAAGTCAACGTTTGAGGTGAATATTTATTTTTGCCATCCATTTCCTTATATTTTTTATTATTCGGAAATAATGCTATTGTCAACTTATACAGTATTTGTACCGTTCATAAAAATCAAGAGCTGTATGTTTATTACCGCCACAAAACCGGGATATAAAGCATTGGTCTTAACTTTTCTTGATATTCTTTAAAACTGCTGTAAAATACTTTCAACACCAGATGCAGTTAAAGTCGGGGCAAACTTTTCCTCCTTTTTTATAGTTGTATATATTTGCATACTTTTAAATTACAAGTCACTTTAATGCTGGTTGAATTGGTTCATAATATTATTCCTTTTGAATGAAAATCAACTGCAAATTAATTGCAATATTGGTATTGGTTTTTTATTGAAAATAGTATGACTGCAAATAAATTTTGTTTAAAATTTACAGTGTATTAAAAAATACAAGTTTTTCGGCATTCAGCGACAGGCAGTGTGAGATACACATCTTTGTCAGGTAGGTAGATACATATGTATGTTATCACCTCTGAAAAAAATTGTGAACATATATGACCACGCCAGTCTTGAAAGACAGCATAATAATAATAAGTTACAAGAAATCATACCTGTGCGTTTGACCATCACTTATGGTGATTTCGCCTTTGATTGCCTCTTTCTCTCTTCGTGTTTGATTCTAAACTAAAGGCAAAGGGTGAAATAATTTTGTACTCGTTTCAAATAACCTGTTTTTCATCGCAGAAATACAATCGGAGGTTTGCCATTGCCTGACGAGAGACGACCGCTGTTAAGAAAACCCCTTTATCTATATTTTTTTGCAATGTTGCTTTGACCAGGGCTTGAATCCAGGCGTTGCGTAGTGGAAGCGCGCACTGCTTACCACCACACCACAGCGGCCGACGCTCTAACATAAATATAAATACGAAAAATGAGTTCAGGTATAACAGTGTAAAATATATATGATTGTGACAATTAGAGTTTTAGCGCGCTTGATTTGATGTTCATCCCACTGTGCGCCCATTGATCAGCGTAAGCTCCACCAGCCTACCAGAAGTGCCGTAACAATATAGCTTCTGCCAGGAATTAAGGACCCATTGGAAATGCAAGAAAGATTTACTGATACCAGTGGTGGATTTGCTAACAACTGATTTGAAAGCTTTACACCTTTAAACGTTTATTCCAAGCGCTAATTTTGCACAGCTGTAAAATCGTTTGGGAACTTCTAAATTTACCTTATAAAACATCGTCTGAGGCCAACTGCATAATACATACTTCTCTAACCGGTGTGGGTGAATTCCGATGTTAAACATCGATAAAGTAATAACAATAATAATAATAATAATAATAATAATAATAATAATAATAATAATAACAATAATAATAATTATAATAATAATGATAATAATATTAATAATATAAGTTGTTAATATAGTTGTAACCCCTTAGCACAAAGCTAAAAAGAAATCGAAAAAGAAAAGATAAATGTATGCATAAAAAAAATATATGTATTTTCAAATGGAACCGAAACCTGAGCTATGAACTCCCACTGATGAAATTCCATGTAGGAAAACCACCTGCCTTAAAAAATCTTACAGCTGGCTAAAAAACATATGTGCGTATGTTAGGGCGGGTAATTTTTTTTTTTACTATGCGTGTATATCATAGGAGGATTCTACATGGAATTCTAAGCAAATTTACGGAGTTGGAGTTTGCCAAATTACGAAAATAGGTTTCGAAGAAAATATGAAAATTAAAATTTTTCACCCTCTGGTGAAAGTTTTAAGAACAAAATAAGTACAGTAAGGGATTCCTCATACCAAAAACCCCTTCCAGCATGTTTTTATACAAAATTTAAACACTGCTTTACGACACTACGACAAATGCTAAGGAACCTATTTTCGCAATTCGGTAAACTCGAAATTGCTTTTAGACCCATGGTTTCTTCGGCAAACTTGCTAAGAATTATACGTATGTACATAGAATCCTCCTATGTTATACACCTATAGACGACAAAATCTCCCATACAAATTGACCCGCCCTTATATATGTAGGTATACTATTTGTATGGCCATTTCTTTCTCTACGTTTTTGAAACTCTAATACTCTTAACTCAATTGGAAATAGTAATTGGCATGAATAGGCTATGAGCAAAAGTATAAAAGCAGAGTCTGCAAAGGTCGTAGCTCTTAGAACTAGAATTAGAAATAAATCAAGAACACTCTACATACACATCATCACAAAGCTAAGTCATCGAGCTTTAAATTTTGTTCACACATTTCTTCAACGCGTAAAATATTGGTATGTTTATTAAAGGTTTTTATATAGAGGCTTGTGAGTTTTGCGTGACAGATGTATTCAGTTTGAAAGGTCAAACGCAATTTTTAACTAGTATACTCATAATAACTTATTTCATTTGCACGCATACCGTAAAGGACCGCTTTCGAACAAATTCGAGATCTTGCAATTTTGGAAAGTACTCTCACATTATGTTACATGCATCGTCTCAATGGGATTCCACGATGCGGGTTGATTTAAAACAAATTAAAAGTGAATTTCCTCGAGGCGCATTTTCAACCCTCAATTTTCAATTATAGCTGTTTACACGACCATGCTAATTTCAGTTTGTTTTTGTTTAATATGAATTTTGTGTTTTGTTTTTTATTTTTATTTGTTTGTTATTGAAGTTTATTTTTCTTCTTTTTGCTCATTAACATTTCGAAATGAGTACTCTGTGGAGTTGTATTCGCGAAATTGTGGTAATTTCGTTTCAATGTCACTGAAATTGAGATTCATACTCAATTTCAGGTGACAGGTTATTGTAAAGCCAATTTGCGAATCGTATCGTAATTTCAGCTGAAATTGAGAACAGTGTTGAAATTGCGCAACATGGGCGTCGTGGAAACTGCCTATAAGTAAAGTTTTTTAAAACTTGGCCGACAGATTACAAATTGGGCTTTTGTGTATTTACTTTTAAATATAAATTCTACAAAATTTAAAAATATCAGCTGTTGAGAAATTCTTTCAAAAATGTTTCTAAACATCATATGTGTATGTACATATGTTTTTATTTACGTACTTATGTATGTATACGTAAGTAATAGTAATTCTAATATGAATCTCAGGCATTACAAGCTAATTACAATACATTCGCGCTCAGACTATAGTAACTGTTGGATAGAAATTGCCATTGCTGCCATTAGACGTTTGATAGACTTGCAGTGGGTTTTGCTGTTGTTGTTGCTGCTGCTGCTGCTGCTGATAAACAATTTTGCTTGCATGTTGCACATGTGTTTGCTGCTGTTGTTCCGTCTGTGCCAGTGCCTGCTGCGTATGCAGATGCTGTGTATGATGATTTTGGTTGGACTGATACGTCGCTAGATTTTGTTCGCCATTACCCAAACGGACACCAACACCGACACCAATGCCATTGTAGCCACTCTGCTTGGCATTCCTAACACCCTCAATTGCTTTTGCCTCGTAATTACTGCTATTACCATTCGCATATCCATTGCTGCCACACGAACCTGCTGACCCACCATTGCACAAGCCATTGTTGTTTTTGTATACTTTCGAAAGGCCATTGGTACGACTATTGCACATCCCAACACTACTACGAGTACCGTTACCACTAATTTTTTCCATTTATATTACTACCGCCCGCTGCTTCACACTTCACACTGACTTTGTCACTGCCATTGCTTATTGCCGTATTGTTGCTGCCATTACTTTGAGTAGCAGCAGTCTTGCCATTGCCAACAGCATTCCATTGCCATTGCTTCAATGGTTCGCCGATTAGTGTAATTTTCACGGGCTTGTAAATGTTTGCGGTTGGCGCGTGTTTTCCTGTGCCAGCGGCTGATGTCTGGGTCAGCGTAGCGGCTGTTGTGGGTGCTGTCGCTGTTGGCTTTTCCCACGCGATTGAAGCACGTCGCGGTGCCATTGCCAACTGTTGATTGTTGTAATTGCTCAGAGTGGTCGATATGATGGTGTGACGTCGTATTTGTTGAGATGCTGCTTCTGTAGCTGCAACTGGGAGATTATTATTGCTGCCATTGCAGTTGTGTTGCAGTTGTTGTTGGTGGTGTGGACAAAGAGTGTGGTTGTTGCTGTTGTTGGCGCTGCTGCATATGCTGTTGTTATTGCAACTAGCTGCGGGATGATAATGCGTCGTGTAGCTGGTGTACTCGGGTTTACTTCTATGTGATTTTCAATGATGGCAAGCGGACACAATGTTGGGGACCAAAAAGAAATGAATAGAGAAGTAGAGATTAGAATGGCGTTATGTTGTTTTATTTACAGTACAATTCGATGTCGTGCAATTTCGTAAACTTATGAAGTGATTTTGGTATTAGTATGAATATAGTGGTATGTATGTATGTATGTGTGTACATATAACTAATCGCATGCTTCTTTTCTAACTTTCGTTTGCACAATTGAATGCTTTCATTGACTAACCAAAAACTTTTCTACAGATGTACCTTTTATAGTATGTAAGTACAATACACATTAGGGTGGTCTAAAATAAATGCATGCGAAGAAGGAAAATCCGAATTTTAATGCTCTCATCCCCTAGGATTGCTCGAAAAAATATACCCCGGTTTTTTAGGTTTAGAGGTCGCTCAACCTGCTCAAAGTAAAACAGCAATTTGTAGAATTGGTACACAAGTATTGAAAATCAATATTTTTCGATCGGAAAACTTTGGTTTTCTTTAGGAGACTGCTCATAATAATACCCGACTGTTTATTAGTTTTTTTAAAACTGGCGCTTTTTTACGGGTCGCCCAATTACACTTTTTTGAGGATTTCAGGGGTGCCAGGGGTGCTATAAAAAGTAGTTAATAATGGAAAATGGTTTAATAAACAAATGGGTTTGTTATTCAAAGTCTCCTGAAGAGAAACAAAGTTTTCCGATCGAAATTTTTTTTTTTTGATTTTCAAGAAATCTATACCATTTCTACGAAAACTGGTTTTTCCCAAAAAAAATACGTGGAAAATTTTGAACGACCTTTAAATAGTTTTTGATTAAAAAAACTATAAAAATGGGGTATAATTTTTTCAGTATAGAACAATCTTAGTGGGTGAGGGCATTAATATTCCGACTTAGCTTTTTTGGACCACCCTAGTGTACACCCATGCGATGTACTTGGAAGAAGTCCAACAGAATTCTAAAGACTTAGGAGCGGCTAGACTACCCCATAAAATTATGATTTCCTTTAGGTAAGACTAGCCTTGCTCCGACACAGCTTTCAATCATCGAGGGTGTCTGTGTGGTAAATCCATTTTCCAAAGCACAGATATGTGCCGTGTGGTCTGGAAACTTTAATTTAGCGCTGCCATTTTTAATTGTCCAAACATTATTTCCTAATACTGAATTTCTCTCAGGTCGCCTCTCAGGCTAAGGTGACGACTTCGGTTAGCGCGATTTTTACTCGCACGGCGTCGCTTTGACACTGAAATGCCTACATTTGGTATATTGTGGTTTTGGAAAGTCACTCGTATATTAAGAAAGGGTTTTAGCTTATATTCTTCTTCGTCTTTCTTCTGTATTCTTTATTGGCGAGGAAACTGCCTAAGCGATTTTGGCCGAGTCCAGAAAAGCTCGCCAGTCGTTTCCCTTCTGTGCCCACTGACACCAATTGGAAATACCAAATGAAGCTAAGTAATACTCCACCTGATCTTTCATTACTTTCAGAGCGGTAGCGTTTCGGTCCATTCGTACGACATATCCAAGCCAGAGTAGCCGTGTATTTTAAATCGCTTCACAACGTCTATATCGCTGTAAAGCGCATACGGCTCATCTTTAAATTGTCTGCGGTATTCGCCATCACCAATGCGTGAAAGCCCGCAAGTTTTCGCAGAATTTTTCTTTCGAAAACCCCATTAGATGTTTTTGCCTAATCTAATATTAAGAAATCAGCACGGCTTTAAGAAGGAAATATCCACAGAGATAGCTTTTATTTTGTTAGAGGATCTTGATTTTATCGGCGTTAATCCTGTAATTCGTCAAGGAATCAGTAATCTTTTGAATTGTCGGACAGTGGTGTGTGAGAGGGGTGATCTCAAGGGAGGCGAACTGAGGCACTCCACAAGGAGCCGTCCTCAGCTCCGGCTGGACGTAATATTAGAGCTAGACGAGTGGAAGAAGGGACTTCGATTCAATAGCAACACGTGCAATTTCTTTGCAGACGGCTCCCAAATTCTTGACGGAGTGGGAGCGTGATATTCTGTTACAGCAGCGGTATCTCCTTTGACACTCTGCTCCCTTTGGAAGTTCGCGACTTAGCTAACCTGGCTCTTCCTAACTGAAGAATATTGCGGACCCCAGAATTGGCAATTTTCTAAACCTCGCAAAAAAGTTCATTATGATTAAGGTCTTAAATCATGCATCCATATCCTTGACAAGACTAGGGACCAGCGATTGGTTTGCCCGGTAATCAGGTTATCTAATTAAAACATATTATTCTCTAGTGTATGTTATTTTTGTAAACTGAATAAAAAAATATAACCATATACCTATAGTAAACACCTTGCAAACTAAATTTCCCGAAATCTTAACGATATCTTTCGGATTATCTCATTTCTGTAAGATTTTTTTACAATTCGTCAAAGAAAATTATATGAAGTGGTTGACACGAACTCGTAAAGAAATTTCTGTACGAAAAATAAAGAAAATTCTGAAAAAATTCTCCAAGAAATTCTTCACATAGCAGCATTATCTTCATTGCTTTACCGATTTTCTTCAGAAATTTGTAAAAGAATCGAAGTGTGCATAGTTTGTGTCATTTTAGAAAATTCGGCAAAAAAATCGGATGAGATCATTACGAATTCTTTAAAGTTTCTCTACAACTCAAAATACTCCGAAAATATGGTTTACAGGGCAGATGGCCCAATATACGTATATTGGTGCAAACACCCACTATCAAATTTTAGTGGCTTACACACTAGGTGCTGCATAAAAAGTTTTCGGTCGCTGTACGGTTCCATTTTAAGCGATTTACTAACATTTAATTAAATAATTTTGTAAGTGAGCAAACTAAGTACTTGTGTATGCAGGTCTTATGCATTATTTTTGAATACTTATATATAAAAAAAAAAACGTTCTAAGCATTCAGTTGCACAAATTCAATAAACAAAAATACTTTACCATAAAATGTTTCTTGTTATTTTTTGTTAATGACATGAAGGCATTACCTCACAAGTCTATTAAATTGCCGCATGCAATTAAAAAAGTTTCAACAGTTTTAAAGAATTTTTTGTGTGTTTCACATTTTTAATAATATATAGTTTTATTACCTAATTAGGATACTACGATCATTGCATTTATGTTAATAATTAAAAATAATTTGAAAAACAGTTTTTAAAAATTGTTATAAGATTCATAAATAAAATTGACAAAGCTATGGGGCTTGCTAATGTTAGCGGTCATTTCAAGCTATGTATACTCGTAAACCTATTTATGTACAATACTATAATATACAATATAATTTTTAATACATTTCAAAGTGTTATTTTCCATTTCAATTTAATTTGATTTACATTTTTCATTCCACTTTTCTTGTAGAATGCGAGATTTTGGATATAAAAATGTTTTTACTTCACAAAATTTCAACATAGTAACAAGAAACGTCTTAGCACTTTTTGTTTATGATGCAAAAATCCTGCGTTTTAAAACAAATTTAAGTTATTATAATAAAACATTAAAAGCTAAAGTGCTGAGGCTGGGCTTGCTTAAATTCCTCACTCTACTATGCCGGATCAGTCGTTTTTTCAGTAGTTTTAGTTTAAAGACTTAATTTCTTAAATTCCACTTGAATTTGCTTCTAAATAAATAAATTATAATATCAATTACCATTTCTTTACATATACATAAGTTGAATCTTATCAAAAATATTTGCGAGCAAACTGGAGATATTCTGTTCTTCTTTTCAGCTTGTTTTTTACTGAATATACATTAGGGCGGGTTAAATTTTTCCTCTACTTCGTTTCGCCGACTGACGTATTCTACTGGCAATTCATGGAAACGTAGCTCTTAAGGGGTTTCGAGCCCGCTTATTTTTAATGTTTAGTTAATATCTAATTCATAACCAATTTATTTTTCTTAACTTACTTCAGTTCAATTAAATTGATGCGATAAGCAACATATTTTTGCAAAATGGGTATCAAACTAAGGTGGCTTAAGAAAGATTTATTTCCAAACAAAATTTTGAAGGGTGCCGCCACCTGTTTAGAAAATTTAATTAAAAAACTTTAAATGTTTCAATATGGGTTTCAAAACTAACTGATTCGTTACTTCGCTACGACACGAAATTAATGCGGACAGTGATAAATTCTTTCCTTTGAAAAATTCGTCTAATTGCTTATGCGCAAAATCCATATACACACATTTCTTAAAAAAAAATTACAAAATATATCTAAAAAAAACTAATTGATTAGGAATTAACGACTAAAATTAGAAATAAGGAGGCTCGAAATCTATTTAAGAGCTATGCTTCAATGGACTTTTTTAGTCAGAATTGCCAATAGAATACTTCAGTCGCCGAAGCAAAGTCGGTTATGTTTGTTAAGAACAAATCGACCCGCCCTAGTGTACATATTTTGTTTTAGTATTGCTAGTATTATGTACATACAATGTATGTATTTTTTTCTTATCAAAAATTTTCAATCATATTTCGATTAAATTTTGTTAATTTCATTTATATTGTCTTTACTTTCATCCAAAAATAAGTCATACTTATTTCAAATTGCTTGTTAATTTTTTTTTTCTTAAGTGCTACTTTAATAAACATAGCTTACTTTGGTTTTAAATTAACTATAATAAAACTTAAAAAAAAAATATTTCATATAAGAGCAAAGAAACTGTAATCGAAAAAAATGTAAGCGAAATTCTTTTCAACTATTCATCAGTGTGTCCTTGTAGTGAACAGCAATAACTAATTTGAAATAAATTTTCGTTAAAAGATGAATAACTCACTCAGTTTTCAACCGGTGTTTGAAAATAAGCATTCGTTTTACTCGCTATTGAATAGTCTTGTAGTAAATTCAGAGTTAGTATAGCTGCTTCATAAAATAGTGCCAAAATACATCGCCAAAGTTTAATCAAGACGTACATCATTCGAGATTTCGTTTCTACCAAAAAAATTTCGCCTTTTGATTGCACCTTTCTCTTTTCGTTTTCGGTTATAAAATAAAGGCAAAGGGTGGGAAAATTTGTGTTCGCTTCTTAAAATGCCGCCCTATTGTAAGGCAAGAAAGCACATTCCTCGCGCTTTGAAGCTTTGTCAGGGGTGACGGTTGCCCTCAAAATCAGATAGTTGCTTAAAACGACAGGGGTTTTAAGGGCGCAAAGGTATGCAGTTCAAGCTTTTGGGGGTGTTTGGCCGATTTCATATTTCGATTCTTGTTTTGCTCGATAAGTTCTTTATGAAAACAGCACTTCACGGGTACTTTGGAATTTATAATTTGTTAAAAATCTGAATAAATAACTAATAATAAATTGAAATAATTCAAACAAAATAAACTAATACTTGGTGGTCATTTAATTTGTAAAGCTCATCTTTTTTTGTATACATATTTTTTTTTTACTAAGTATTAACTCATTTTAATTTCCTTATATTTCTTGGTAGTGACTAACAAATTAATTTGTGTTCTATTAGCTTTAAAGACAAGATGAACAATTGTCAATACATGAATAGGTTATATGTAGTATACAAATAATGTTAATGGCGCATAAAACCATAACAGCCATGATAAGATCACAAAACAGTACCTGTTCTTCGCCAAAGCGTAGTCTATAAGTTTTTACCAGTTGACACAATTCAGTATAATGTTTTGGTGCGTTATTGTGTAATAATGTGCAAGTAGGTGTATGCATGTGTTTGTGTGTGTATGTGTGCGTTAACATAATGCATATTTTTTATTTAAATATATTATTATTTTATTTTTTTTAAATATAATAATTCCCGAACCCCATTTAAAAAAGGCAGCATGAAAGAGAAATTTATGAGATTAGCTATTTTTATGAAGCAATATACATACTTTTATAAGGAAGTGTGAAAGTAAGAAAAAAGGTTGGAAAAAATTTCATGTAAATAGTGTACATATACATATACGCTCTGTAACTAAGTATAGGCATATACATATCTATGAATATATGAAGGTTTACATAACTATTCAATTATGCATAGAAATTTTGAAATTAGAAAAAAATTAATTATTTCTGGAACGTAGCCTAACTGAAGTATGTACTACATAATTAAACAAGCACGTTAATTAATTCCCCTCTTCCCAACTCCTACAAACCATTGTATATAATTGGTTGTTAGTATTGTTTTTTTTTTTGTCTTTCTAATTTCACGAAATTTCGCAAAAACAAATTGCTTAAGGCAAAATTCGTTGTAGATAGTGAAAGAAACAAAAGATGTTCGTCGCAAGCAAATCGCTTACATTGCGCACACGTAAATGGAGCCAATTGGCCCAGCCATGGCGGTATGCAACTAGGCCGCGATAATAGTGATGATGCATGTAGTTGCTGCAGTTTGTGTTGTAGCATGTCAAAATATTGCACGAAAGCTGTCTGCAATTTGCAGCCAAACAACGCCAACTATGCAAATCGGCGCAACTGCGCGTGAAGCGCAACAACGTTGCACATGCAAATGCAACAAGCCGTTGCAAGGTGCTATCGATGCGACTAAGGCACGATCGCCAGCCATCATAGTCAACAGCTACACCAACACCAACACCAACACCGATGCCGCTTTGGCTACTTGGCGCTGTGATGCCGTTTAGGCAACCGATTACAATGCCACCGAAGTTGTCTTTGAAATGTTGCAATTTGCGGTGAATTATAGTGAAGAAGCGC